ATATATTACAGTATATATTTATTAAAATATGAATATCATACAGTGGACACCTAAGCCTTTGCATGCAATGCCCTGATACATTTAGTGCTCAAATCTCTGACAGCTGAACCATGAGGTGGACAATTATTGTTTTAGAAAAGTAGCCTAAACAAAACCCCAAAAATAGGCTGTCAAGTTTTGCATATGCTGCACATCGAAACACATAGAATAGTGTTTTTGTAATTTGTTATAGGCTGTTTTTAAGGACACGTAAATGTGGCTCATTTGGCCAACATCCCTCGTTTATTGATGGCGCTTGCTGCGCCAGGTTGTATCTGAATGCAAATGGATGTCCATTACATTTCTCAAATGTCCAGTAAATTAAAATCTTCCCTTGTCATGTTGTCCAGCGCCAAATTTTCCTAAAAGAAACTCTGAAATGGCATATTGTTTTTATGAAGATTTTAGAATATTGGCATGAAAATCTGTCACCAATTGGATGGAAACCTAGCTATAGACACCCTAAAGACTCTGGGAAGTGTGCTAGTCCGGTGTCACTTCTTTATGCCTGCACATCATGGTTCACCAGCAGCCCCAAACATCTAAAGAATAAGCTACCAGCTAAACAAGCTTGTAAGAATTGTTCTTAAACTCCCCCCTCATTTTTTTCAACTATAGCTCTGTAATGTGTCTGTAGCTATGTAATTGTATATGTATTTATGTGAAGAAAAAAAAAAATCGGGACCACAATGGAAATAAGTCCCCGACTTTACTGTGCAATCCTGGTCACTTTGTGTATATATGTATTTTTTTTACTGACAAATAAAATCAAGCAATCAAACCAGACTGTGCATTGGCCAATTGATAAATGGAAAGAGACATCTGTTACAAAACACCAACAAGTTTAATGACATTCGGAGATTGTCAGGCCAAGCCTTCGTTACTGGGTAAACCTACATGGTAGGGAGGGATGGATTTTCTGTTTGAGATTGTTACAGTCTATTTATTGTGGTGTTGAAAACGCAAACTATGATATTGAAGTGGCCGAAGTTGGTATGCTTTGTTTATTGGTTGTGTGGTGCATTGGTACAGAACCCTGTTGGTGGAAAATTCGTTGCATATATTTTATATACATATTACATGGCATCAACATTTTGAAAATCTGATTTCCCCCTAGCTGATCATTGTCTGCAGCCGGCTCTGATCGTAGTGTAATGAAACAGGCAGAGCGAGTGAGCTCGTCTGTAGTGGTCGGCAAACCCTCAACCTTTTGGCCCGTAGCCCTGCGTGGCATCGACTGTTCCACAAAAGCATGCTGAAGTGGCAAAGTCGATATCAATTTATTTGACAGTACAAGGGGAGGGTGATGTAGAGGGGTAGAGACCAGGTGAGTCTCAATACTTTGATGTAGTCTCCGCTACCTATTTGTTCTGTCATCTGAAAGCGATTGAATAGATGAAAGCAAATAAAACGTTATAATATGCTTCGAGGGAGAGAGAGGAAAGAAGTGTAAATGAGGATAGGAAGAGGGCAAAGTTAAATGGGCTGCATCCCAATCATTAACTTTCTTCCCTTGCCTCCTCCCCTCATCTCCTTTTCTTAATTGGTGATCCCTAACCTGGAAGAACTGGACATGTGAAGTTATGATTGCAGTCAGTTTGATAGAAAATGAAAACATATGGCCATAGTGGAAAGCGAAAGCAGTCTGTCTGTGTTCCTGTGTCCCTCAGGTTTTGGCTTTGTGACCTTTGAGAATGAAGACATGGTGGAAAAAGTGTGTGAGATCCACTTCCACGAAATCAACAACAAAATGGTATGTATGTGGACAACATGTACAGTATGTGTATGTGCGAGTGTGTGTGTGTGTCAGTGTTGATGGCGAGGAGCGTTTGTGTCTATGTGCAGAATATCTAAAATAATTTGCATTCCTCTCCAGGTGGAGTGCAAGAAAGCCCAGCCCAAGGAAGTGATGTCACCGACGGGTACGGCTCGAGGTCGTGCCAGGATTATGCCCTACGGCATGGACGCTTTCATGCTGGGGATCGGCATGCTGAGTAAGAACAGAACATCAATAACACGGTCATTTAGCCGCCGCTAAACACTCTGGAACAATATTCACAAAGCGTCTCAGAGTAGGGGTGCTGATCTAGGATCAGTTTTGCTTTTTTAATTCACAATGAATACGATTTACATTATATAACCGGGGAGACCTGATCCTAGATCAACACTCCTACTTAAAGAAGCTTTATGAATTTAGGACCAGTACTGGAGAGCAGGGCTAAAGAGATAGGAGGAGAGGAAGTGGGGGAAGGTGTTTCAGTGGGACTCAAGTATGCCATGGCCCACAGTGAAGTCATTGTCTCTTGCTCCACCTACAGTTATGGCAACAGCATGGTACTGAGTTATGGTGCTAGTTGCTACATGCTACATGAGGTCTAATATAAATGCATTAGCATCTCCTTAAGCTGTGTTCAGCCATATCCTGATGGTTTTTTTGTTTGTCTCTCTCTTCGCAGGCTACCCAGGCTTCCAAGCAGCTACGTACGCTAGCCGCAGCTACCCTGGCATCGCTCCTGGATACACCTACCAGTTCCCTGGTATGAGCATCACTCTCTGTCACAATGATTTATGTAGAGGTTTAGTTACAGACGTACATACGACTTGAGTCTTTTATTCATCCAAAGAACTGGCTAGGAAACAATGCATTGGCCTAGTGATCGTAACAGATACATATTGATGTTATTTTTATGTTCGTTGACAAACATATACACGCACACCTACACTTTTTACTCCACGTATAAGCACATATGGCAGAGTCTCTGGCTGCTTGTAGATTTCAGAGAGTTGTATTTTGGATTTGTCATCCTCCTCTCTCCGGTCCTCTTCTCCTCCCCTCTCACGGTAAATGTCATCTTGCCATTTGTTAAAATGTGCTGTACTTCTATCTCCCTCCCCATCACCTAATTTTCTCCTTCTTTCATGTCCACTCTCCCCTCAGTGCTCTTCCTTCCTCTCCTTTCCCCCTATCACCCTTCTCGCCTGTAGTCTCTCCTTTGTAAATTGCTTTCTTGTGTGTGTTGTCCTATGTGCCTGTTTGTGTGTGCACATGTTCATGTGTGTGTGTGTGTCAATAGACACGCGGATGGTGTATGTAATTAAAAATGCGCTCTCTTGACATTGCTGTTCTAGAATTCCATTTAGAGAGGACCCCCCTTCTGACATCACCCCACCCCTCTGAGCTCACAGGTCAGTCACTCCTCCAGATCTACAAGCAGCTCTCTTTCTCGTTATTAACAAGGCAACAGTGCTAGACTGTGGCGGAATGGTGTATGGCCCTCCTTTTTCCAATCGGGAAGGGTTCAAGCCTAACTTTAATATAAGCACAACTTTTGCAACAAATAAAAAATATTGATGATCACGGAATTGACTGCAGCAATGTTAGGCTTGGATATTTTTTTGAATGGTTTCACCATCTTTAAAACTGTCAACTACCTGACAATTAATAGTTTGGTGAACTAAATTCACACACTGCCAAACACTGTTAAGGTGACATACTGGTAGAGGTAAAAGAAGACATATGTGAAATTGTCCCTCTCTCCTCTGGCCCTCAGCCATTCCACTGTCAGCCTACGGACCAATGGCAGCGGCAGCAGCAGCTGCTATGAGAGGTAAAGATCATTCTCCTTCATCATTCTGTTTGTGTGTGTCTATCTGTCGTCATGTGATGTGGATGAGGATGAGCGTCTTTCTCCCAAGAAGAGATCTCGAGAGAGAGAGGACGAGAACCAGACGAAGAGAGAGAGAGAGAGAGAGAGCGAGAGGAGAGAGAGAGACGAGAGAGAGAGAGAGAGCGATAGAGGACGCCGTCGATGGGAGACTAGCTGATGCTCTATCGGAGTGAGATCTTATCTCTAGCTCTCTCTCTACTCTCTCTCTATCTCTACTTCTCATCTCTCTCTCGCTCTCTTCTCTCTCTCACTCTCAGGTTCCACCCAGTCGCGTAACGCAGGCTATCTGGGCACCAGCAGCCCTGGGCCAATGGCTGACCTGTATGCAGCAGCTAGTCAGGACTCAGCAGTCAGCAGCTATCTCAGCGCAGCCAGTCCTGGCCCCAACTCAGGATTCGGCCACAGTCTCGGGGTACGTCACTATCAACGAGACAGAACACGGTCGTTGTATTCATTAGGGCACACCGTAGCAAAATGATTCGCAATGGAAAATGAAAATGAGCATTTCTTATTTGACAAGTTCAGGTAGTCCCTCCCTGCTTCAGTCTGTTTTGTTCCTTTTGGTGCCTAATGAATACGACCCAGGGTTGGAATATCGCAAAGAGGGATCTTTAAGACTAAAGGAGCCCGCTTAGTGGCATATGGCATGTATCTAATGCTAGGGGAAACCAGGGATTGTGGATTATGGAAGTGTATAGCTGCCAAAATTCGATTTGAAGTGCAAATTGGATAATGACAAATCAATGCACTATTTGCAATTTTGGTTGATCATCTCCTTTCTTCATTTCAAAATATCTATCAGCTGCTCTGTCTCTACTAGTATGTGTCTCTCTTCGTTCTCAGGGTCCTCTGATCGCCGCCTTTACCAACGGGTACCACTGAGCAGATTCAGCCAATCACCGGACACGGAAGGAGGTCACTTCTGCTGATGAGCCAATCAACTGCTGTGTGCCTACCCATGGCACAATCTGATTGGCAGCCACAGGTCAATCCCTGCCCCTGGCTCCCCCTGACTCCACCCACCGACTGAAGAAGATATTTTATTTTATATTTTAAACTCCTGTATCCTGTAGTCCTGTACTAATATCACTTCCTCTTCTCAGTCCCTTGTTTCTCCTATCCTTTACCTTCACGTAGGTTTATTTAATTAGATTCCAATGCTGTTTCTTTTTTTAAAATATCATTCTGACAGAAAAATAAATGTGAAAACAATGATTGTGGGTTGCGCTCATGGCAAACACAGATTCTGTCAGATTTCTTTTTGATTTATATTTGAGGAATTTTTATTTAATCACAATGTTTTTATGTATTGTCTGCTCCTTTGACCTCCCTTTAATGTGTTACTGAGGTGAGATGGAGAGAACGAGGAGAAGAGAGGGGTAGAGAGAACTGAAATGGTGTGTGGGATGGGGTCTCCTTTTCAAAAGGAGTACCTAACCCATTTTAAACAGTGGAAGAACAAAGAAATGATGTCATTTCCTTTTTTAACAAATGTGTCACAGGAAACATGAAAAGAAAACAAAAATGTATATTTTGATAGTTTTAAAAACAAAACATTTGTAATATTGTTATTAATATTGAACGGGATGATAATAATGATGATAATCGGTAAGGTATTTTATTCCGTAATTGGTTTAGAAAGGAATGTTTTATTTCCTTCCTGTAAAATATTGTATATAGAGTTTGGGGGGGGGGGGGGTTACTTTGATTGGCAGGCAAGGTTACTATTAACCATTCGGGCGCCATTTTAACTGGAAGTCTTTTTAACTGCTACAACATGTTCTACAGTGGCAGGTCATTTTCTAATTGAAAGTGGCTATCCCCTAAGCATTTGTTTAGTGTTTAGGCCAACAACATGCATGAGCAGGGTTGAAGACTAGATGATATTTGTAAATAAGACGGAATGATAAGATCCTATTCATTAGAAATTGGTTTCAGAGATTAGCCAAAAGTAACAACAAGAGAACATGCTTGAATTTACATGCAGTTGAGTTTCATTCCGTGTCTTGCTGTAAACATTTATTATTGGTAGTGTGTGAATTCCAAATCTGCATTTCGTCATACAGCGCTAGAAACAGAGTTGTTTTTTATTTGTGCCAGTAACCTGTTTCTATTGAATCGGGCCCCTTAAAGGCACAGTCTTATCAAGTGACATTAACATAAAAATATAATTACTTGAATGGGGATTCCCATTCTTGTAATTCTAGATCTATTGTCATGACATCCAAGTATCCCTCAGAATAATTTGAATTGGAACAGATGATAGGATGAGGAACAACTTAAATGAGGCCCTGTTTTTATTGGCTATGGTGAGGGTGCATGGGTGGGGTTAAGGGGGATTGGGTGGGCTTTAATACAGCTTTTTGGTGGGATATATTTTGCGCTATTTTAAGTATATTTTGCAATATTTTCCTTCATTATGTTTTTTCTTTCTTTCTTGGTGTTCAATGTACGGGTCATATGGACCGTAGAAACAAATGAAGGACATACTTAACAAAGCAATTGACTCTTAAAATACTATTACATCATGGTTGTATTTGTCCTCTGATTACTTTTGAAGGTGCGTGTGTCATTATGTGTGAACGTGTGTTTCTGTGTGAGTATGTTTACACGCACAATAGTGAGGTGAAGTATGGAACTAGCTACATTCGATAGTTGAGATGCATTTTTTGACTGCCATTTTGGTACTGATATCTTTGCCTGGTTCCATTTAGTCTTAACACCCCGCACCCTATGTGTCCTTTCAGATCATAGGGACTAGGGGTAGATAAATCAAAATGGAATAGGGCCTCTGTCCCAGTCAGTACAGAAAGAGGTGTACACAGACCAGTAGCTGGAAGGGAGGAGGAGACAGAGTGTCACAAAGCTATTTAAATGAAAATCACATTAATTTTGTATATGTTCCACAAAGTCTTCCACTAAACAAGAATCTCCCATATTAAACTGGCTAGTACTGCCCTTCTCCGACTGGCTGGGTCACTATACAAAACTACTGCTGGACACGAACACTGTAACTTTTTAACTTACAAAAAGCAATGTTATTTTTTATTTTAGAATTAATAATGATATTAATAGCAATATGAGTATTGATAATTCCATGGCGTTAAGACTTATTTTCAGAACAAAAAATAAACTATATTTTTCTTTTGTACGATTTCGTTCCCCATGTACAAAAATGATTCAGTGATTTTTAAGACGCTGGTGTTTTTTGTTTTGTTTGTGTTAATGCTTTCTTCAGGGTCGGGAAAGGCCTTGGTTGTTAAAGCTCCAAGGTCTTTACCAACACTGTAACTAAACTTTGATTTGGACTGTTCCCCACCCGCTTTGTCATATGTATTTCTTTTTTTGTTTTTCTCCTCTGGAAATGTCAATTTTACAATTCCTAATAAATTATTTTAAAGAATTCCACTGAGATTGTGGTTCTGTTTGTTTTTCTAAGCATTTGAGACTGAGTTGTATGGAAGCAGATTCATGCCAAAACAAATACTTTAATTTAGATTTGTATTTGTTTTGGCATGAATCTGCTTCCATAAATGTAGGTATAACATTTAAAAAAAGGAGAGAAATGACAAACATTCTTGAAAATGTATTTTTGTGTAAATGCTTTTATACCCTTAATGTATTTTGAGGGTTGTCCTATAGAAAGTCATACAATGCATTATTGGGTCACAGTGTTGGCAATTCTTTTTTGTAATCTTGAGACTTGATGTAAACTTAATCCCGCAGGACAGGTACCATGACATGTCAACATGTGCTTATCTACGGCGTCATCTAGACTGTTGTGTCATCACTCTCAGGGACTGATGCCATTTGGACTAGCCTCTGGTAAGCCCTACTACAGTGGGAGGAGAATATAAATGTGTGGGCAGCATTAGCACATATATTTTGGCAGGACTTCAGCACCGCTCCTGACCTTGGAAGTATCACAAAGCATATAATAATAATAAGGAACATTTTTACTAGGTATATTTGTCCCGTTTCGTGCCTACTGAACATGACCTAGGTGTGCTCAAGGTGGGCTGGAACAGAAGCAGTAGGGTTGGCTATTCACCCTTGTGAAATTGATTGCAGTGTGAGTAAATGTTGTTTGTGAGTGTGGGGAAAACAGTGTTGTACAGTTACCAAACTGTCATTTGGGGATGCTGGAGATTCCTGTCTGACTGTGTGTGTGTGTGTGTGTGTGTGTGTGTGTGTGTGTGTGTGTGTGTGAGAAAGAGGGAGATTAATTTTAGCCACAGCAAATTAGGTCAGGTCCTGATCTCTCTTCTCCCTCCTTTCTCTTGCCTAGGGAGGGTGATGAGGTCAGCTCTTTGCGTGGGGGTACAGTCCTCCTCACGCCCCATCCCACACCTACCATCTTCAGACCTCTCCCACAGTTCCGGGAAGCTTGACAACCTCTACTCCTTCACTGGCTAGTCCATTGTTCCTTTCCCAAGTATGATTTTCTACCCTTTTTTCGTCTTTTGAGTGGGATTTGTCCTGTGTAGTGTTTCCTGTACCATCCCTGAAGCTCCAGGGTCCAAGGTCATTTGGCCATAATTGTTTTCGCAGTTTTTTGGGGGGGCCTGAGATTTCTTTATCTCTCTCTGTCCTACCTTTCCATTTGTCTTTGGTGGTCGTTTTTGTGGCTCTTCTCTCTTTTTCTCTCTTTTGGCTGTTTTCTCTCTCTCCTGCCATCATCTGTTGCCCATACCATGGCCCGTCCTTTGGTTCTGGAGCCGATAAGAGGACATTTAGGAGCTAAGAGTTCTCTAAATGGGAGTGCAGACTTTGACAGACTGAGTTTTATGGGGGAACAGGATCCTCCATCTTCCCTCCACAATTACCTTTGGCTAACAATCCTTACCTGCTTTTGCCCCGCGTACCCAGTCAACATCGAAGCCCTGGTCTTCTCAGTACTGGTGAGTAGCGGACATCCCAGGCATATGGGAAACAGTTTACTCACTGACTAATTTATGTGTTAAAGCTGATATAGGTTTATAGAATACTGAATGAGAAATATATAGAAACATTTCAATTCTTGAGCACAGTATATGCAGTGTGCAACATCCTGAAAAGTAGGCCAACATCAGGTAAATTTCCATGAAAGATGCAAAGTGTGATATGTTGCATGATTAATACATTGTAAACATATGGGCTATTGTATTTCACAATACTTGCAATTATAAAATAATCCTAATTCTATGTTCTATTGATGTAGTATTAAAGGGATAGTTAGCTTCTTTGAAGTTAACAATTTTATTTACTCCCATAGGGTGTTGTTTCTCCCAAACCGTTTAGAAATTCATTAGCAATGTTCAAAATAATCTGTCTAGCATTTTTTAAGAATGTAGTAATGCTAGTGGAAACATATTGTCTCTGTTAGCAGTTATTCAAAAGCATGGGGAAAGCGGAGGAGAGCGCCCCCTACTATGGAAGGCGGCTCTGCTCTAGACCTTTCCCCATGCTTTGAATGCAATAATAATCTGTTTAATAATCTGCTTCCATGTTTTTTCTCTGGGATTCCAGCAACAAGCAGTAAACATTGAGATCTGGTGTACCAGCTACGATGCTTGGCAGGACAACAGTGCTCCTCTGCAATTCTCACATGGTCTTATGCTAACGTTACATGTCAGTTCATAAGATTCAGTGTTGAAAGCTGGCTGACCTCTAGCCCAACTTTCCCATGGTGTGTGTGTGTGTGTGTGTATGTGTGTGTGTGTGTCATACAGTGCCTTCAGAAAGCATTCACACTCCTTGACTTTTTCCACGTTTTGTTGTGTTACATCCTGAATTTAAAATGAATTAAATTGGGATCTTGTATCACTGGACTACACACAATACCCCATAATGGCAAAGTGAAATTATGTTTTTAGAAATGTTAAAACATTTATTACAAA